CTTGCTTGCTGAAAGTGAAGAGGACTTGAAGCACTTAAAGATGAAGTTCAAGGACTACAGCCTTCAAGTATGGCTTACACCTCAACATAAAGAAAACAGAAATCCTCACAACTGGACCAATAAGCAACATCATGATAAACGGAGAAAAGATTGAAGTTGTGAAGAATTTCATTTTACTTGGATCCACAATCAACTCCCATGGAAGCAGCAGTCAAGAAATCAAACGACATACTGCATTGGGCAAATCTGCTGCAAAAGACCTCTTTAAAGTGTTGAAAAGCAAAGATGTCATTTTGAGGACTAAGGTGCTTGTCATGGATTAAATTGTGTCCCTCAAAAATATCTGTCAACTTGGCTAGGTCATGATTCCCAGTATTGTATGACTGTCTACCATTTTGTCATCTAATGTGATTTCTGTATGTGTTGTATATCCTATCACTATGATATAATGAGATGAATTAGTGGCAGTTATATTGATGAGATCTACAAGATTAGATAGTGTCTTAAGCTAGTCTATTTTGAGATATAAAAGAGAGAAGCAAACAGAGAGACATAGGGACCTCATACCACCAAGAAAGCAGTGCCAGGAGCAGAGCACGTTCTTTGGACCTGGGCTTCCTTTGCTGAGATGCTCCCAGACCAAGGGAAGATGATGACAAGGACCTTCCCTAAGAGCTGACAGAGAGAGAAAGCCTTCCCCTGGAGCTGGCGCCCTGAATTCGGACGTCTAGCTTACTGGACTGTGAGAGAATAAACTTCTCTTTGTTAAAGCCATCCACTTGTGGTATTTTTGTTATAGCAGCACTAGATGACTAAGACAGTGCTCCTGACCCAAGGCGTGGTATTTTCAGTCGCCTCAGATGCACGTGAAAACTGGACAGTGAGGAAGGAGGACCGAAGAATTGATGCCTTTGAATTTGTGGTGTTGGTGAAGAATATTGAGTATACCATGGACTGCCAGAAGAACAAACAGGACTGTCTTGGAAGAAGTACAGCCAGAGTGCTCCTTGGAAGCAAGGATGGCAAGACTTCATCTCACATACTTTGGATGTGTTATCGGGAGGGACCAGTCCCTGCAGAAGGACATCGTGTTTGATAAGGTGAGGGGTCAGCAAAAAAGAGGAAGATCCTTGACAAGATGGATTGACAACAGTGGCTGCAACAATGGGCTCAAACATAGCAACGACTGGGAGGTTTGCACAGGACCGGCAGTGTTTCGTTCTGTTGTACATAGGGTCGCTATGAGTTGGAACCAACTTGGCAGCACCTAACAACAACAAGAAGTAGTTTTCATAACTTTGCCCCTGTGTGCTCTACTATATACATGGATGTATCTGCAGCACATAAAGATACTTGTGTATAAATGCTTGTGGGTATACTCCCATTTGCCATCCCACACCTGTTCAGCTTACATGTCTACTTATGTGTCCACTCGTAAATTGTTATTTGCAGGATTGTGTATGTAATAGTATTTACTGTTGTTTCCTTTTACTCCTGCATTCCTCCCAGTGTCTTTTGCCTTGGTCCTGTTGTGCTGACATCCCCCTTATTGTGTATTGCCTTTGCCTTCACCCAAGTTAATACTATCTAGTTGGAGCCCTGTTGGTGCTGTCGTTAAGAGTTCGGCTGCTAACTAAAAGGTTGGCAGTTTGAATCCACCAGCTGCTCCTTGGAAACCCTATGGGGCAGTTCTGCTCTGTCCTATAGGGTCTCTATGAGTCAGAATCGACTCCATGGCAACAGGTTTGGTTTGGTTTGTTAGTTAGTGATTTTCCCTCCCTCCCCTTCCCATTCCTGGTGACCATCAAAGATTGTTTCTTTCTGTGTGTAAACCTTCCCTTGGCTTTTTATAGTAGTGATCTCATACGTTATTGGTCCTTCTGTGAGTGACTTATTTCACTAAGCATAGTGTCCTCTAGGTTCCTCCATGAGATGATTGGTGAATTCGTTGTTCTTTAACATTGTATGTGTGTACCAGTTTGTTTATCCATTCGTCTGTTGATGGGCACTTGGGTTGTTTCCATCTTTTTGCTGTTGTGAATAGTGCTGTGATGAACATGGGTGGGCGTACGTCTGTTCGTGTGGAGCTGAAGTCTTAAAAGCTTGTGCCTAGGGCTCCGAAGGTTCTGATGTAAATGGGTCTCGCTTCTTGAATGGCGTCTTTGTGAGGTGATGTTTTGCTTTTTGTCTGTTTTTATGAGGAGTCTGTGTGTGTTCTGTGAAATCCAGTATTTCCTCACTTTGCATTATACGAGGTCCAGTGGATGACTGCTAAAATCCAGTGTTCTGTCTCTTCGATTAGCTGACCCCATTTTCTTCACTGCAGCTATAGTTCTCTGGGCTTGTGTTCTAATGATGGAACATTCTGAAGTGCAGGTTAGTTCTGAGTTTATTGAATCTTTCCTAAGACAGCTGCTGTGCCTGAAGCCTAGAGTGAATCGCCAGCTTTTCTGTTTAAGGTCTAATTGCATTATAAATCGCCCTCCCCACCCTACCCGTCAGGCTTCCAGAACTGAATTCAGAACTTCACTTGGAAAGGGATTGGACGTCCTGAAGCATGAGTTATGTAACTGTGGATTGGCTTTCACCCATCCAGCTGTATTTCCTCCTTTGATGGCAAAATACAGGCTGGGAACGGTAATTAGATCTCAGAAATGCTGGTCACAAAGCACCACAGGCTGGAGAGACTTGTGGCCTCTTCTGGGCATTGGCTGAAGCTTCAGAGCACCACTGCCTGCATCTCAGAGCACCACTGCCTGCGTCTCACAGCACCACTGCCTGCGTCTCACAGCACCACTGCCTCGCATCTCAGAGCACCGCTGCCTGCATCTCAGAGCACCACTGCCTCGCATCTCAGAGCACCGCTGCCTCGCATCTCAGAGCACCGCTGCCTCGCATCTCAGAGCACCGCTGCCT